ACCTTTACTTATTGGAGGGAGTCATGATTCACCAAACTGTCCACAACCTGGAAGAGTTCCTCAACTCAATATTTCATCAATGTGATGGTTGAAAAAAAACCTCCTCCTTTCTTTCACATGCTGTCATGTCACCAGGTTTCAAACACACCTTGTATCACAACAGGACAGACTGAGACCATCTTTTGTAGGCTGCTTGTATGTTAAGGGGATCTGTGAGGGTGAACTATGAGAGAAGAAAATTTAAGAGGCACTGTGAAGGATAAAATATTACAGAAATGTCCTGCGCATTAATTGGTTGCACAGTATTGTTGTTCAGAGCTGTGTGAAAGTGAAGGAAAACTGTTAGCTAATGAGATAAGTCTTCTTGTCAGAATAAAGAGGTGTGCCTGGCTCAAAATGAAGGTCAGTTCATGACAAAGATATTCCCTCCATCCCTCCACATCCAATATCCTGTACTACTCTGAAAACACAAGCCAGATTGTGTCCAACTAAATATTGTTAGCCAAAAACCATCTGGGATAGTCCCATGGTTATAATGTGAGGCATCAGAACTTCAAACAATTCCGCACAGTTGTCATCCACATGGACATTGACTTTTCCTGAGTGAGGTCAATGTTGATGATGTCACTGTCCTTCATTGAGTTAGATGCACAATCAGCTCAGCTGCAGAATATGAGGCCCAAAGGAGCAACCTATAATTTGGTCCCAGTCCTGTTGTAACTCTGCTGGGATGCTCATACTCAACACACACACACCATCAGATCTCTTTTTGGAGTGGAAGACCTGCGAGTAGTACATCTGAGGTCAGCCACATCACCTCCCTGGCCATCTCAAGACTCATGATAAATTACTCCAGACATATGGGCTAATAAGCATTTTACAGTTTAATCCAGCCAGCTTTCAGTTACACTAGTTAGATCAGGGACCTCATTCATGCTTAAGTAATGGATTAACAGTTAGCCACTGCTCTTTCATTAATTAAACAGCATAAATTCCTGATTAGGTCACTGTCATGACAAGACCCTGCTTTCCAGAGACCAGATTTTTGAGGGGACCTGTGGGACTGATATTAAATATGTGGAACCTGGCCTGCACCTTGGAATGGTTTGTTACCTACCTTGTACCTTCTTGCTCACAATAAGATTTGAGGGTGATCCACACTCATCAGTTTACACTTAAATCTTTAACTGAACTAATCAGCCTATAGCAGTTAATATACACAGTTGGTGGAATAAGAATGATGATTGAGATTTTCAAAGAAGTCTGGGCGATTCAGATGCACATCTTCCATTAAGGAAAACATGTGTCTAAATCTCTTAGACTGCTTTGAAAATCTCAGCCAATGCATCTAATGGTTGACTATAACTGTTGCAATTTTTATGCAGCTATATATAAATGCTTGTAAATAAATAGTGGTATGAAATTTTGAAAGAAATTGGAAACCATGTGAAATTCCTCTGGTTCATTTTGCAATGCAGATTCAATGTTCTCACCAAGTTGCTGAAGCTCATGAACATCTCAGATGGTGTAAATAGATAACTTGAGGCTATGTCTACACTTACCATTTAAAGCCCCTTTTTTTGCGCTAAAACCACGAGAGCGTCTACACTTGTTAATGACTTTTTGTGGTGAAACTCAGAAGTTTCACCGCAAAAAGAAAACCACCTTCACTAGAGGCATATAGCTCTTACCGTTGTTCTTTTTGCGCTGTTGTGAAAATGAAGACATGTTATACCAGCGTAAACACGTTTTGGCCTCCAAAGGATATCCCACAGTTCCAAAAGTGACCACACTGGCCAGCATCTCCGCTGCTCTGACGCCAAGTAAACGGATGTCCGCCCCTCCCCCTGTAAGCCCCGGGAAGCTTGAAACTCCCTTTCCTTTTGCTTGTAGATATGGCAGGGAAAGTAGCCAGACAGCAGGGTTTTTTTTAAAAAATGTCACGAAAGAAACAAGGAAGTAATTGGGCTTCTTGGACACTGAGCAGGGACCCAGAATGCCTTCCGCTCACCCCACCTTCCCACAGGACTTATTGAGAGCTGGACTGTGAGATAGCTGCCCTACAGTGCTGCTCTCATCAGTGATGGAAGCACTTTTCTTTCACCGGTTCCCTATTACCGGTGAAATTTACAGCACAAAAACTCTGCAAGTGTAGACATACCTCTACTGATTTTAGCTGAGCTGTGCCAATTTACAGCAGCTGAGGATCTGGTTTATTGAGTGAGCCATCATCCACTTTCATGTGAACCTAGGACAATTCATGGTTTTGCTTCTATGATTCTAAATCATGAGTCGTTTACAGTTCATCAAGTTTGTATCATGAAGCAAGGCAAAACTCTGAAGTATAGACTGACATTCAAGCTGAGATTTTGAGTTTGATCAAACTCCAAAATCTAAGCAAAACTCAGCAGTTGCAGAGTCACCCAGCTCTAAACTAAAGAAAATATTTTGCAATAACTTGCCAGCTGAAACCATCAGGTGTTGCACTGCTGTTTGAAATACCTGCAAGCAAACATCATCTTAACATTTACTTTACTCTGTTTAGGTTGTGAAGCACTGCAATGTGAATCCCTCAGTGGACCTGTTAATTTACGTGTTATATACTTTCATGTATTTCCAAAAGCAAATGTGGAATGATTGCTAATCCATTCATGAATTCATGTTATTAGCAAAATGCCTTTGGCAGTACGTTACGTTGCCTAAAATTGATAATTTAGTATTTTTAAAAGTAAAAATAAATAGGCCCCACTTATGACGTCAATGAACCAGATTCACTGGTAATCTGCCAGCAGAGGAATGTTCACCTGAAGTGAGTATGCAACAATGGCACCCCGGCAAAGTTTAGAGTTGGGTGCTCTGCAGAACTGCCCACGGGAATGCTATGGTGACAATGCCACTTTTGTTCCCTGAGGCAGCTGCCTCCTAGGCTCTGGTGTGTGAATCAAGCCCAAAGTTTTTGACCTCTAAATGACTTCTATATCCTAATGAAGGTAGAAAATATATGATACATTTCTAAACCTCAGAGCTTCTACCAGGGGTAAGAGCCCAGGCCCAGTTGTCTGATTATTCCAGTGCATAGTGGGTTTGTCTCTTTCTACTGAGTTCTTGACAGAAGTGATTGTGCCTCCTGAGAGTTACACAAAGGTGTGCTGCTCAAAGAGAATAATTAAACATTAGCTATGCAACCAGTGCAGTACTCATTTCTCCCCAAAAGTCTGTAATCAGACACAGGAGTAGGCATCGAATCCACCCTTCTGGTGAACAAAATGGTTTATGCCATTTCTCAAAAAGGGTTTTATAATAAGAGGAGACAGAACAAGGGGGGGAAGGAACAAAAAATTCTGATACTGCATTCCTCAAATGGTGTGACATGTCTTCCTAAACCCAGATTACTCAGTCCAATACAGATCTGCAAAAATCTAGACACAGGAGCCTACTATACAGCATGTAGTCTAAATTCACCCTTGTGCAGAGGGCCAGTAAAAGGCCTATACGCTAACCGAGTACCACTTTGTATAGTTTGCAACATATACTTTCCAGTAGTTTACATTTATAGCTATGAAGCAATTGAATAAAGAGATGCATCATCATTTTCTTTTTTTTAACACACAGGAGAATTATTTTACCAACATATGAAAGAGTGTTCCTATAGCATCATAGTGCTTTGTGCTAGAGGAAAACAATTACAGTGAATAAGGTAGAATAGCTCTGTTATTGCAGTACATAAGACTTTGATTACATACTGCCAAGATTCATACCAGCCTAGTAGTTGTTGACAGATAAAGTAACAAAAATGAAACTCATTTATTTTTTCTTTATTGAGACCTCAAGGTAAAGCAAATTTTCAGTTCTTGTACTTACTACATTGAAAAAACAGAGACTGACAGTCAAAATGTGCCAGTCCAGAAATATAAATTAAACCTAGTTTCATATCAGAGTTTCATTTAGTCTTGGAAAAAGTGCTGCTGCTTGGATTATTTTTGATCCTAAAATAAATATACTGTAGACTGCTATAGTGTGTCTAGGATGCATTAACCCTTTCCTGTGTTTGACTTCAACTGTTTACCCTCTTATATGTTTATTTTCAAGAATATAGAGGTAAACTGTAAAGTGCTATGCCTCTTTCTACAATTCTGAAGCAATCTGGGGACTAGATTCTACCATATTTTCTCATGCTGAGTAGTAATTTACTGTATGCATGTAGTGCCATTGATTTCAATGACACTACTTGCAGAGTAAGGCATATGAAGGACACTCTTTGAGGAAGTATAACTCACCCGTGTTCATAGAGAATTCTTCTAGCTGATGATATAGGAAGTTCTGCCAGCTGGTGGCAACTATACACTGTATATTTCTCTGATAAGTTTAATATATGTCTTTCTCTTTTGTAAAGTTGATTAGTTCCTAAAGTACAGATAAAAACAGCTATTGAGATGGAAAGTGCTAAACGAGTGTTTTTATCCCATCAAATCTTTGTTTTGCTACCTAGCCCAACTTAATACAATTGCTGTTCAGATTAATGAGGCAGCATTCCAGTATCTCCGCTGTAATTAAACACTTCTCTGGTAGACTACAGCATTAAAGATGCACCAGACGTTGAAACCTCAGTGGTGAAATTTAAAACTGTTGAAATCGGAGGGGTCAGCTGTGAAGCACAAGTTCCTTTACAGCCTTGGTAACTTTCACTTGTAATGTGTGTCTCCGGAATAATTTGGCTTAGGGTGGGTTTTTTTTTTTATCATTGTATGATCTAAATTTGAGAATTTTCTCATTACTTTCCGAGCAAAAGTAACATGAAGTACGCTTGTTTCCAAAATTACCTTCTCTGACCTTTCACAAGATAATTGCAGTACTAGTAGGCTTAGAAGACTTGATAAAAAAAATTAAGCTTATAAAGTAGCAAAAATGCCCCTTCGCATGCTGGTGTCGATTTCAAAATTAACATTTTGGTTCATGTGCTTCTAATAATCACTGACCCTTACTTCATGTGCTTTCCACAGGAAATGAATACAGCAGAAATTACTTTGACCCAGTGATGGATGAGGAAATAAACCCAAGGCAGAGTGGGATGGAGGTCAGTGGAGAAGGTGAGGCAGAATTAAGTATGTAATTTTTGTGTCAAAATATTCTTTTCCATTCATGAAAATGAGGTGACAAAGATCACATATGCAGTTCCATTTAAATGTTGAGGGTTACTATTTAAATTATATATCTTCACCACCATGAACATGATGGGCAGCATAGGTAGTCTTTGATCAAGGACAGTGAATTAGTGGACAGGTAAAAACAGGACTGTGTGCTTTATTCTGTGTTTTATTGTAGCTATAGAACATATAACTGAGATACAGAAACATATTCCAAGAAAATTGTTGACCTAAATGTTCTGTCTAATTAAAATACCCAATCCAGAACAGAGCACCAAGCAGTATCTTTTTTTGGAGAAGTGATCCTGAAGTCCTCACTCAAGTGAAAATGTCATTGAATTCAATGTGTTTTGCCCATCAGAATGCAGCACACCCAGTTTTTTTTAAATTTTTTGGGGGGTGGGAACCAGCAAATATAAATATTTTCCCAACACATTGAGGTTTTTTTTCTTTTCTGCTTTTTAAGGATGTGAAACAATAAGAAGGAAAATTGTGCTCTGCGGAGTGTGCACTAGCCCACTTCATTTTGGATAATGCAAGTTCTTTTGTACAGCAGGGGATGCAGGGTTGTTGCACTCCAGCATCAGCACAAAGTGACTGGAAGCTATGTGGAGGTGCAAGAAAGAGTAGTCAGTGGTGATATTTCTTCTCAGGTTATGGCAGCATATTCAGTATCTTCTGTCACTGTCATAAGAACTTAAGAACGACCGTACCGGGTCAAACCAAAGGTCCATCTAGCCCAGTATCCTGTCTATCAACAGTAGCCAATGCCAGGTGCCCCAGAGGGAGTGGACCTAACAAGCAATGATCAAGTGATCTCTCTCCTGCCATCCATCTCCATCCTCTGACAAACAGAGGCTAGGGACACCATTCCTTACCCATCCTGGCTAATAGCCACTAATGGACTTAACCACCATGAATTTATCCAATTCTCTTTTAAACGCTGTCTTCTGCCAGTTCTTCCTTGGCCTTCCTTGCATTCTCTTTCCTTTCCCAATTCAATGCTTGTGTAGCATGTTTCCCATCTGGCATGCATGTCCCAACCACCTGAGCCTTCTTTCCTTGATGATATTTTCTAACATGTCCAGCTTTGTCAGCCTCCTTACTCTCACGTTTGTTATTTTGTCTTTCCATTAAATGTTGAATATCTTTCACCGCCTTCTGTGATGGGCAGCCTCCAATCTCTTTTTGTTAGTAACTGTCATTGGCCAAAACTCTGCTCTGAACAGTAGTGTTTTCAGTACAGTCACTTGGTATAATCTGACTTTTAGTTTGGTGTTGAGATCTTTGTTTGATCAGAGCTTCCAAATCTGGTGTTTTGCTTTTCCTAATTTCATATTGATATTTTTATCATGGTCACCTTCAAATGTCATCATACTCCCCGCATGCAAGAACTCTTCTACCTGTTTGATTTATTTTCCATCCATGTACACCTTTGCATCTATTGTCCAGTTTCCTATCTTCATAATCTGGGTTTTCTCTGCATTTACTTTCAGTCCAATTTTTGCTGCTTCCTGGTCTACCTCAGTTGTAAGGCCAGTCATCCCATTCTACATCATATTTAGTAAAGCAGTTTCAAAGGCAAAATCAAGGTTGTGTAATTCGTCTCTGCTGCCCCTTTTTACGCATTATGCCTTTTATTGCCCTTGTCCGTGCCCAGTTTATTGCTAATGCAAGGAGGATTGGTGCATAACACACACCCTTGTCTAACTCCGGTCACAATATCGAACCACTCACCCTAGCCTGTGTCCAATCTTACTACAATCATATAAACTCCTATGTGCTGTCAATCCCAGGCAAAATATTCAACAGTTATGTTGAATAGAAAGATGAAAGCAGTGGATAGAATATTACAGGAAGAACATGCTGGATTCTGTCCAAGTGGATCATGTTGTGAACAGATATTCACTCTTTGACAGATCATTGAAAAAACTACTGTTTGGACAAAACCCATCTTAATCAACTTTATCCACTTTAAAAAAGCATTCAGTGGTGTCCACGGAGATACCCTGTGGACTATTGCTTGAAGACAAGCTGATCAATATAATAAAGAGTTAATATGATGGAAGTAGCGCTGTCAAGAGCTCATGATAAAAAAGGCCTGGAATGTGGGTGGAAAATAGACATATCTAAGAAGGCATGGGCTTAAATATGGTCATTGGGGTGGTACTGGGGTGCTTAGCTACACACTGCACTCTTTGGCCCTACTTTTGCTATTTGGTAGCAGCAATTTGGTGACCTGCAAGACTGAGTTGTTCCCATATGTTCCCTATCCAGCTCTTTACTTTTGAACCTTGTAGTTATGTGAGAAACAGCCCTCCTACGGATGCAGGATCCTAGTCAAATGTTTAGAGACCATGAACTGCAGAGACCCCAAAATCTGTGGCCACATAAAATATAGAGGATCTTAAAACAGGCCACTGTTGAAGTTAATGAGAGACTCTTACTTTTTCATGGAAAGTATGAAGAGTTGAGTCTTGAAGGCAGAAGCTTTTGACGAATACACAACTGAGAGAAATCAGAAGTTCTGCCATGTGTTGGGTTCATTGGGGCTGTAATTTGATTTTTTTTTATGAATCAGGGAGAAGTAAGATGATTGTCACCTAATCCTGTACCATCAGGTTTATCAAGGACATTGCATCTAACCAAAAGTCCATAGTGTCATGGGATATCAAAGTGATCCTTAGGAATGTAACCTGCATGATTTGTGTAAGCTGAAGTTTCTTATGAGGAAGGATTTATTCTTGGTGACAGTGGCTCTGACTCATTTAATAAATGAGCTTCAAAAGCCATGATCTGCTTTATATTCAGAGAGAGGAAAGTGAATTGTATGTATTTGTGGATGCGTGTGTATATACAGATAGATATAAAAATGCACAAAAATCTAACAGTGGTGTCAAAGCTCCACCTTAATCAAATTATTGTCAGGACAATATATGTCCCTGGCCTCATGCCCATGTTAGGGAGGACAAGCTATATAAGTTGAATCCTAAATGTTCCCTTGGGTGTTTGTCTGGAGCAGATGAAAGCCCTTAGAAAGTCCATCCAATTGTTTTTCTTTCTGTTGACATTAACATATTAGGTCAGTCTGTATCTAAGAGAACATGTCTAAATGGCTGTCCTTTTGAATTTCTCTTTGTTTTCCCCTGGCAGGACTGTCACTCAAAGGCCATGTGAAAGCCCAATTTATTAGAGGCATGTTAGCAATGGTAGCCAGCCTCAGGTTGGTTCTACTGAGATTTGCAGAACAGTTATAATGCTATATGGAGTTTACTTTATTCTTTTACCTGATATCATTGCCTAGAGCAATGCTAGGCCAAAGAATGGATGAGAGTATTTCTTTTAGACAAATGATTCATACTCATATGTATGTTGTGGCTGTACATTACAGAAGTAAATATGTCTGTGGCCCTCCTTTCCTTTATCAGCAATCTGCTATTGCTTGACCAGTTCACTACTTGTCTCTTGACATATCTTTTGTTGCTCTAGTCATCCTCTGAAGAAAGGACTTTTGCTCTCCCTACTCACTTATATGCATTTTAGCTTCTTGTGAGCCTAAATATGCCATAGAATCTTTTGTGTTGGCTGCCACAGCATCTCTGAAGCAAAACCTGGCAATTTCAGCAGAAGTTTGTTTGATTTCCCTTATATAGAAGTACTATAGCATTTGATAGGGAGAAAATCAATATGGTTCTGTAGAAATGTAATAGGGCTCTATAGAAATTTCTCTTAGCTATAATGTTTAATAGGGTAATATATTTTCTACGAATTTGTTTTTTAGCCTTCTATAGAATTCTGTAGCAGGGATATAATTCTCTACTAAATCCCCTTGGCTCTTTAGAAGTAGTAACACGAAAGAAAACGGATAGGGTATAGAACGATATACATACACTATTATGTATGTGGACTCCATCTTTGAACCCTCAATGCTGCTCTGAGGTCCACAGTAGTTTAGCTTGAGATTGTGCATTTCAGCAACCTGTTGTTGCCTGTGGTACCAGAGAGACTCTGGGCCTAATTTTGTTCTCACTTGCACAGGTGTAAAGAGTAATTCCACTGAAGTCAATGGAGTTACATCTAAGCAGAGCTGACATAAGTGAGAGGAGAATCCGAACTGGTGTTTGGAGTCTTCATTTTGGATTGGTTGTATACTGACAGAGGAAGACTTACTTACTCAATGCCTGTCTTCACCCAGCAATTGGTCATTGTGGAGAGATAAAGGCATGCATTGTTGTATCAGGTTCAAAACACACTTTAGAGTATCACTCATTCTGTGACACAGGCAGTCTCAAACCAACACATATTAACTGACCACATGTGAATCTTCTGTCACTAGCAATATTATTCAAAGTTAAATGTAAGTTTCAGGTAGCTGTGGCATAATATTCTTAAATGTTATCCTGTAAAGATAAGCTATTAACAAATATCTTTTTGCTATGTTACAAACGAAGTTTGTGCTTGAGATGTATTAGAGTTGATAATTCCCTCAAAACCAAACAAAAACAACGGATATGCCATTCTTTTTCAGGAGAAGGTGCCAGTGTCGGGTAATGGAAGAAATTAAAAAGGTATCAGCCTACATTTTCAAAAGTGACTAATGATTTTGGGATGCCTCTGTTTTTGGGTGCCCAGGTTTACATTTTAAAGAAAACTCACACTCTGAAAATCAGGCCCATTTAATGAATCTCAAACTGGGTACCCTAAACAATTAGTCAGTTTTGAAAATTGAGGCCATAATTCTTTAATTATGATATTGGTTACACTTCAGTTAACCCTGAAATTACCATTGAACTGGACAAATATTGGGGGAAAAACATTTTGGCTAATATTCTGGGAGAAGAAACTTCTATGGCCAATTTTCTACTTAAATGATAGGTTGGTGACAGGATCCAGTTTCATGGGGAGCCGTAAATACTCAGGAGATTTTCAGATTCATGCTATCCTTACAGCATGCTATTAAAATGTACAACTATGTTAAATTATCTACTATAGATCCAAGAACAAAAGAATATTGAAAACATTGAGGTTATTTTTACTTTTATTCGAAAGTCAAACAAAATGAAGCTAATATTTGAATATAAAAATACATGAAACATTACAAATAGATTGTTACCTCAAATAAGGAAAAAACAAAGTGTGTGTGTGTGTGTGTGGGGGGGGGATTAATATAAATTAGGATATAAAATAAGGATATTCTTTACAAATTGTTCCATAATTTAGTTTTGGGATAGGACTATTTTTCATAACTTAGTACCCAGTTGTGATAAATTTCATAGCAATCACTTATCTACAATTAATTTTAGAAGGTAAAAAGAGCTTGTTTAAATTCCTTACATCTCAGTACAAAAAACAGTTGGTGGAAAACCTGATTTGCACTTTTTCTTTTTAAGTGCCTATGAATTTAGATGAGAAAATTCTCTATGGTGAACTGATGAAACTTCTAGATGAAGAGAATAAAATGGTGGAATATCAAGGTAAATAACTAAACCTTTTTATTCAAAAATCTGAGCTGTGCATATATATGTCATAAAACTTGTCTTGCTGTAATATAAGGAAGTAGCTGATCTTGCATGCATTGAAGTTGAAGGTAAAATTCCCATTGAATGTAATGGGAGGAGGCAAGATCTCACCCAAAACATTTTTTCATTCATGATTATATGTATTTAAATAGGATTTAAATAGTGCATAGTCTTTAGGCTGCCTCTCTGGACAGAGGTGAACCATAGAAAATATTCCAACTTGGATGCCCAAAGTTAGTCACTTAAATCCATATTTAGGCACATAAATATGTGACCTGATTGCCAAAAGTGCTGAACATCCAATGCAAGTATATGTGGTAGAGGGATTTGGGTGTCAAAATAGAGATGTAGTTTTGTAATGCTAGCACCCAAGTTGGAAAATGTTGGCTTTAGTTTTATTAGAAATAGCGAACCCAGGAAATGCATCCAAAATATAGTACGTTTCCTCATCTCCAGTAAGAACAGCAGAGCAAGAGAGAGGAGGCTCCTTGACTCCAAACTCTCAGGCTTACTTTTGCTTTACTTCGTTTGACAATATTTATTTAACAGCCAATGACTGCACTGAATCATTACCTTCCCAACCCTTACATGCTGTGCATACCTGCTGCTTTTTTCTATTTCATTTAGGGTAGGTGTCCCACAAATTCAGGGTTGGCCTTGTCATTTTTCTCTTCATATGAAGCTTATGCATATATGTGTGTGTGTGTGTGTATGTGTGTGTTTTCTATTCTTACTGTCTTTACAGGGCTCCTGTGTTCTTTTGCAGTTACATCCAGGGTCTGGTCTAGAAGAGAGACAGAACAGGCAGTTGCCTAGGGCAGCCAAGCTTTAGGAGCAGCAACATGTTTTATGACTATTTAGTTTTTGAGTAACTTTGTTCTAGAAGAGGCAGACATTTTTCAGTTCGCCTAGGGTAGCAAAATCCCTTGAACTGGCACTGGCCATATGATTAATATCTTTGAAACCTATTTGGCTCCATTTTAAATGCAAGGAAAAGAAAGTGCAACTACCATAGCTAAATAAGTGCAGATAGTATAAGCAAAAACCGTTAACAGATTGTTAGCAAGCCCAGTATTGCTACATGCTAATGTGGTGTTCCACATTACTGAATAAGATCAAAGTATTGCTGCAAGTTGATTGTTGCTTTTATCATGTAATAACATACGGTAAAACAAAAACATGTTTTGCTGTGGTAAAGCATTCCATTCAACATTATTTCTATTGGAAATATTGGCTTTTGGGATCCTTCTGTAATACTTATAGGGCCTCCATTACTGTGGTATCTGAGCACCTCACAATCTTTAATTCATTTATTCTCACAACACTCCTGTGAAATAGTGCAGTACTGCTATCCTCATTTTACAGGGGATATGGGGAACTGAGGCATTAAGTGACTTGCCAAAGACACACAGGAAGTCAGTGGCAAAGGAGGGAATTGAAGCCAGGTCTCCCTCAACCAGGCTAGTGCCCTGGCCACTGGACCACCTTCTGCTCCCTCACTGAGATACAGTACCATTTATCTTTACAGTGTGATATTATTGAGCTTCACCATCATGAGGAAGGAAAAAGCACTCATAGATTATCCTACAAGGAGAGGGAAGAACGTGGCTTATTCCATAGTTTTATATTTCAAGATATTTTGTCATTGAGTAACCTGGGAGTTACCCATGTAGTATATTTTCACAATTTATTAGATCACTAGATATTACAAACAACTGTAACGGCAGAGTTTTAAAGAATGTTGTAAAATATGCAGTCCCTTCATTAAAAATGGAGCCTAGTTGAAAATTTTGGATTCTGATCCAAACATCTGTAAAGTGATGATACTGCAATAAGCGTACAATTACGATGAAGGTATTTTAGTGTCTAAAATCCTAGATTAGATTAAATTGATTTTAAAGGCATGTTTATCCCCCTCAGAGTATAACAGGAAAGAGTTAAGGTTGCTTGGATGCCTTAACTGTGCATTTCCATTCATTAATGTGTTTGGATTTCTTTTAAGAGTAATGGTAAAACTCAATCCCCTTGGTTTGTAATAGTTGTTTTTGAGGTAATTGTACAGTGTTTGCCCTGAAGTTACTAATATGTATTATTAACTGAAAATCTATTTTAATGTACTTTTTGGACTTAGAATTTCCCTTTTAAAAAATGTTTACAATATCATTCATGAATACTAAACAAGAAACCCAAAGAAAATGCTACTATGCAATATTTTTAATGATTTGAAGCTATATATTATCAACCTGAAAAATTAAATTGTAAGGGCAGGTTCACTGGTACACCAGTCTAGCACAAAGAAGCTTGAGTGCACTGGCAAGTTAAGCTGGCTTTAGAGCAGGGGTCTCAAACTCAAATGACTACGAGGGCCACATGAGGACTAGTACATTGGCCCGAGGGCCGCATTTATTGACACTTCCCCCCCACTGTCCTCGGCCCCACCCCTACTCCACCCCTTCCATGAGGCCCCACCTCTGCCCTGCCTCTTCCCACCCCTTCCCTGCCCCCATTCCAACCCCTTCCCTGAAATCCCCACCCCAACTCTGCCCCCTCCCTGTCCCCAGGGGTGTGGCAGGGGCTCAGGGGCAGGGAGTTGGGGTGTGGGGTGCAGGAGGGGTGAGGGGTGTAGCAGGGGGCTCAGGGCAGGGGGTTTGGCTGCAGGAGGTTCCCCATTCGTGGCCAATGGGAGCTGCTGGGGGCGGAGCCTGAAGCAACAGCCACACACACCCCTGCGCCCCTCCTTCCCCAGGTTCCATCCGCTTCCCTGGAGCGGTGCGGGGGCAGGGCAGGCAGGCAGGGAGCCTGCCCTGTCCCTGGTGCATGTCGGACCGGAGCTGCTCTAAGTAAATGTTGGGGGAGGGCAGGGGGGGCCACGAGGAGCTCGCGGGCAGCAGAAAATAACCCCACAGGCCACATGCGGCCCCCGGCCACGTGTTTGAGACCCTGCTTTAGAGCTACTTTACATTAACAGATACATGCACAACAGCTGAGGTGTACTGGTGAATCTGGCCTTCTAATTGATTTATTGGTTTAGATTAAGGGCTGTGATACTGAGACTGGAGCTGTGTGAAAGGGGAACAAGAGAAGTCCAATGTCTCTGTATTTTACGTGCTCCCCCTATCCTCCTGCCTCAGTTTCCTTGGCAGTGATGCCTTGGTGCTCAGTAAAACTGAGACAGCAGTACCAGGGGCTGGCTATCAAGCACTGATGTCTCATGTTATTATGCAGCCATGGAACTTTTAAAGAGCAGCAATAGCTGTGCTAAGTATTCTACCAATAAGAACACTTGACACATCTGTCAAGTCTCTCTCATACCATTGAGTCATTATGACCTATGGAATTGTTGCATGCACATTATCTGCATGGGAAGGATGGTGATTGATTGAGTTACCTCTGATGTCACAGTGGCCCCACTTAAGAATTGCCTGAAAGGTTGACCTGACCCTGGTCATAGCCTATTATAATCATAACAATTAACTAAAGCAATTGTTAATAACATAAATTAATTATAATTTTTCAACTATAACCCATGCAAGAATAATGTAAACTACACAGAAAGTTTTATGATCATTCAAGATAAAAAAAAACTGGCACAGTTCCTAAAATCTTAAATGACCCAGTTTTTAACTAATTTAAACTCCTCAACTAATCAGCGGATTTATTTATGAATTCTCTGAATACTCTTTCTGTATTCAAAGACTAAGTGCTGTAAGTCTGGGGAGGGTACATTGTGTTTTTCATATGTAACAAGGAGGTGGAATCCTTAGTTTACTCAACCATAACTTTGGAGTCTTGACCGGAGTCCGCATAATGACATTTTCTCCCTCATCTTGTGGGTCAGTTCAGACAAATGGGTACCTACGGGTAGACTAATACAGGAAATCAAAGAGTTTTGTAATGCCAACATAAAAGGGACTAGCTCTGGCTGAGCAACCCAGTTCATTTCCTGTCTCTATCAGGCAGAACTTCTCTTCTGACTAGCTGAGCTAACCTTCGTGCTGTTAAGTTCTTTTCATCAAATACTTTCCTAATCTTAACCGTAATTTAGCAGTATATTTTTAGTAGGTACTTCCCTTGAGAGGACTCTTTAAAATTGCTCTCTCTCTCTCCTTTCACTCTCTTCCAGAACACACAGTTCAGATCAGCCCAACATATTCCACCAAAAATAAATACAGTAGATTATAGATCCAACAAAATAAAGAAATAAAGCTAGCCACAAATAGAAAAAAATCAGAATGGATTTAGAGAGGGGGTGCATTCACAGACTGGATGTTTTTATTTTCATGCTAATGTACAGGCATTTGCCTGAATATGCTCACAGAATTTGATATAAGAATGTAACATACTCGGCCAGATCCTCAGTTTGTATAAACTGGCATAGCTCCAATGAAATCCCACTAATTTACATCAGCTGAAGATCAGGCACTCTGAGTATAACACAGAGAGAGTTTAAGGGAACACCTAATGTTGCATCCTCTGCTGTGGGCAGTGTTTTCTTTTACAGCATTTCCTGGATTTTCTCTCTTCTTGCCAAACCCTTAATGCTGCAGTACATTGAAATGTAAATATCGTTTTGTTCTTGCAGTTAATAGTTGTAGGTCAAATCACTTTTCATTAGGCTTGTAAGAAGCTACATGAAGAGATTCTATGTACCCTAAGGTAATGGCTTTAGTTGTTTATATTTACTGTACACTCCCCCCCCTCATGATTTTAAATTTGTATCCTGTTGTAATTAAATTAAAAAAACACACTGCTTCCTGTGTGTTGGTGGCACAGAGGTGATTTAAGTACTTGGGAGCCTCCACAATTAAAGTCATTCAACAATGAGTAGTGAACAAAACTGCAAATTTTAATAGCCTTATTTTATCTTTCCTTTTCTGGTCTTCATTAGAGAATGAAAGACTTCAAAGGGAAGTGAGAACAATCTTTTAAGTGCTTTTATGTCTGAAGATGGACTGAGAGACAGACAGATAACTAGATATGAAGTTTTCTTGCAGAGAAAGAGAAACACAGAAGTACAAAAACAAGCATTTGTCTGCAGATAAATGAAGCAAACAAGACAAAGTGAGATGTGGACAACCTGGTAGCTGTCATGTCTTAGTGATCCTAATGTGGAAAAATGAGCAAAAGAGTCCTCTTTATTATTTGTGTCCAAAACTAGTATTAGTGCTCCAGCAGATATGAATGAGAGGATATTCTGGGGAGCAACATATCGAATCATATTGAAAACACCAAAAACATATTTTCTTTAACATACACTTTCTGAATAAATAGGATGTTTGGGGTTATTTGTTTGTTTGTTTGACAGCATATAGTACTAAGTGTATAAAGACTGTGGGCTGAATACTACTTTTAGGGCTTATCTACACTGCCCTGCAGTTTGGTCTATGGGGGTGTGAATAACAGTGCGCACCAAAGTGCTGCACTGTAACTCCCCCGTGTAGATGCTGTGGGTGAGAACTAAAAGGTTCCTAGGTCAGGTTAAAGTGGCCCTCTTCAAATAGCCCTACATTAATGTGAACTAGTAACCTGTTATTTCGCGTCCGCAGTATCCACATGGGGGAGTTACAGCGCAGCATGTTGATGTGTACTGCTGTTCACATCCCTGTAGTCCAAACTGCAGGCCACTGTAGACATCACCTTAATTATACCCATATAACCCCACTGAAGTTAGCTAGCTTGCACAGGTGTAACTAAGAACAGAATTAGGCCCAATTAATTAAACAGGAGCTGAGTGTGCATGGCTGAGGGTAAAATTTGATCCTCCAAGATGAGGTGAAATTATTAGAATGAGCCCTCCTAAGAATTCCTTCAAATAGGAATTTTTTTATAGTTCCATAATCCTGCCAGTGAAAGTCAATCCTGGTTCCAATTCATTTAACATCACTAGACGTACACTAGGGATGAAATGACCCTGAATGTGTAAAACCTCTTTCTGGATTGTGACTTAATAAATAATTTAAAAAACAAAGTGACCAACACAGCTTTGCATTCATATAAATCTATGCTGCTATTAAGAATAGTTTTCCTGATTTTGAAATTTGGAATCTATATGTTGCTGAATGTTTTAATGTTGTTGTGTTCGTTTCATGGCATTGATAGTTGTCATAAAGCTAGGTGGCCCACAAAGTACTAATCAATGAACTAAATGCCATTAAGTAAAAAATAATCTGCCACTTTTGTTTCAAGCAGCCCATGTCATCTGTGAAGATTTCTCAGATTCAGTAAGGCCTGTCAGCTTCACTAAGACACTTGACCTTCGCAAGGAGGTTGAAGATGAAGGGATTTCTCCGTATATTGAACAGTTTGAGAAAGATGTTCAGGATGACATAATTCTGCTTGGCAGCTTTGCACTGGAACAGGTCAGAGTTAAGAACTGTAAGACAATTTCATTGTTTGCTTCATAGCATGATATTGACTTTTCAACCTTGTACACCACCGATCTATTTCATTGGCCAGTGACACACATATTGACAGGATAAAGATTACCCACTTAATTGTCTTGCTTTATTTCACTGGAATTTTACTAAGGTAACTAAATTTTACTAAATTAATACCTTTATCCTTACCTCTGTCTTAGTGTGAATAAAAATAACCTCCTTTACTGATTCTTTCCTATGCCTCTAGCTATTGAATAATTAAGGTTACAGTGGGGCTTGAATCATAAGCCCAATTTTCATCCTTCCCCGCCCCCGCAAATAAAGGTATATTTATATTAATCTACAGAATAAGAAAGTTAGGTTTGGGAACAAGGAAGAAAATTTGAAGGAAATTGACAAGGGGTTCCTCAATTCTAAAGATAGAAATGTTCACCAGAGTCCAAAAAAACCCCTCTTCTAACTTTCTTTTGCCTTTTTGTAGCCAAAAGAGAGAGAGAGGATGATAGAAAAGTTAGTTTACTGGACTCATGTTGTCAAAGGTTAGATTTTCAGAGGCTAAATGGTAGTTGTGGGATATTTAATGATACCATTAAATATCATTTAAAATTAGTAACATGAGAATGGTTCGTTGGCTCTGATGGGCTTAAAGAAGGCTGCCAAGTGAGGGATGGTGACCTAAGCTTTTATTTTTAAAAAGTAAGTTTCTAGACCTTTTCATTATAGAAATAGACTTCAACAGTTACATTTATTGGATTAATCTATTTGGTGAGAGGGATACCTCCCTAATCTGCTGTCTCCCTCTGCTGGTTCCTTTACCTCCTTCCTGCAGACCTCTTGAGGTGTTTGCATCCTGTGGAATTTAGGATGTGCACAAGAAGACGTGTTGCACAGATCATGAAGCATGGGGTGGAACATGAAGAACATGGATGGTGCCCACAGAATGGGACAATGGAGTAGAGAGCAAAAGGGGACAGTGGATATGGGAAGCCTGGGAGCAGCAGAACAGGGGGCATTGTTCCTTTTCTACAGACTTTGTAGGTGCATAGAGGGTTCCCACCCTCAGCAAGCTTTAATATAGTTGTTGGGATCCCACCCAACTATCACTTACCCTCTTGATACTCAGCTAATCCTGAAGGGTTGTCATCTTTTTTATAAACGTATTGGTAAATAGGTTCATTGAGAGGCTGATAATCCTATTTAAGCTCATTTTAGCATTTAACAATTGTAGCTTTGTAGGGACAAACAAGCTTCCTAAGGAGGTTGAAGGTTTGTAGGAACCCATTGAACATTTGCAAGATGGAAGCTGGGGAGACCCCCACAAGCTTCCAAATGCTTGCAGGCGGTGTGGATTGGGATGACACCGAATAAAACTCCTAAGGCTTACTATGGGGCTAATGTTTTTACCCATGTGGCCATCTTCTGTACACATCTAAGGAGAAGAGGCTTCTTTCTGTGGCTCCCAGGAAGTATGTGAGAGACAGGGACTTTGCTCTGGGAGTTACAGGAAGGAGGAGAATGCCTCTTTCAGTCCCATATTAGAACTATGGGGTTTTTTTTTTTAAAGACCACCCTAGGGTATTGCTAGACTTTTACTGCTCCCTGCCTTAACTTCAGCTTGATAAAGATTTTTGGTTTGGAATCAAATTACTTTTATATTATCTGATTTGATTGGGGAAGTAGCCTATAAATCTGATTTGGAATTATGGATAAAAGCTTCATAACTGACAAGGGAACATTTGAATCCACATGCTGTACACACTATCAGTTTATTAGCTCTTAGTAAGCACCAGTGGAAAGAGATAATTATTTAACTGGGTTTTTAGTTTTTTTATGGAAGACTGAGTTGATTTGTTACCTACCTTTAAATAGGGACTCAAGGTATTCTATTCCATTCCATAGATGAAGTCCTGATTCCATAGATGAAGTACATCATAGATGAAGTAGATTTTCTACCTCTCAATTCTATCCCTCCATGTTTCCTATTTTGTAACCCCATCCCACTCTGATGCATCATCAGCAGTAACAATTCAGAACAGAAATTAGCTCTACATCTAAGGAGATTAACAGTAGGGTCACTGCAAAATTCCTACTGCTCTGTGGCTGGCCACCATAAATACTGGAGATCTGTGATATCTGTGCCTTTCCTTTCCCTGGAACCATCAGTGCCATGTCCATGACGCGCTTAGTCCCTGCCAGTCAAAGATATAAGGTAGTTTTGGATATTACACTGTCAACTATCAAGACTCCTGTAGCTGTTGTGTCACATTAGTATTCAGACATTTGGGTAAGCATGTGACTGTCCACTGTTTCCTTTAATGGATTATCTTTTCACATTCTTTAGTATATAAATATATCCTTCTTAGAGCTTGTCTACATGGGAAACTTTACTAAAGTTAATCAGAATTAACTTTCAAAGTGGATTAGTTAAACCACATCAAACCTTTGTGAAGATCTTTTTATTCAGAATGAAAGTGTCCTTAATTCAATTTAACCAAATTATGGGCTTGTCTACGTGGAGCAGTAATGCGTATAGAGGGGTGTGATGTCTAAAGTGCACTAACATATTATGCATTAATTGGCCCATGTAGGCCTTGCTGATGTGACCTAAAACTTCCCTCGTGCACTATAATGTAGTGCTGTTAACGTAGTATAGTACCACATTAATGTGCACTAGGGAACTTTTAGTTCATGCCAGCAGGGTCTATGCGGACCAATTAATGTGCAACACGTTAGTGTGCTTTGAAAATCAGACCTCCATGGAGCTCATTACTGTTCTGTGTAAACAAGCCCTAAGGCCACTTTAATTCTGAATAAGAGCATCCACACAGGGTTTTAATATGGTTTAACTAATCAACTTTAAATTCACACCTTTAGTTAATTTGGATTAATTTGCTTGAGTCTCTCTGTGTAGACAAGCCATCAGGTGCAATGCTTAGGTTACTGCAAGGCACTTGTATTTTCAATTTGTGCTGAACTTCTTCAGAAACACCACCATTGTACACAACAAGTACAACTTTTGCTAGTCCATTTGGTCTATATTTATTGTTTTGGAGAAGCTCTCTTTTTCTTTTGTCAGTCTCTTCAAAGAGTATTACTGCAGCAAATTTACAAAACAATGCAAAAATGTTTGGTATTTACTTATCTCTGTAAAGAACATAACATAAGAACATAAGAAAGGTCGTACCGGGTCAGACCAAAGGTCCATCTAGCCCAGTATCCTGTCTACTGACAGTGGCCAATGCCAGGTGCCCCAGAGGGAGTGAACCTAACAGGCAATGATCAAGTGATCTCTCTCCTGCCATCCATCTCCACCCTCTGACAGACAGTGGCTAGGGACACCATTCCTTACCCGTCCTGGCTAATAGCCATTAATGGACTTAACCACCATGAATTTATCCAGTTCTCTTTTAAACTCTGTTCTAGTCCTAGCCTTCACAACCTCCTCAGGTAAGGAGTTCCACAAGTTGACTGTGCGCTGTGTGAAGAACTTCCTTTTATTTGTTTTAAACCTGCTGCCTATTAATTTCATTTGATGACCCCTAGTTCTTGTATTATGGGAATAAGTAAATAACTTTTCCTTATCCACTTTCTCCACATTTTATATACTTCTATCATATCCCCCCTTAGTCTCCTCTTTTCCAAGCTGAAGAGTCCTAGCCTCTTTAATCTCTCCTCATATGGGGCAAACAAACAAAAAATTCCATTTCCTTTTGCAGGTCTAGAAACCAATAGATGTGCTCTAGCCAGCGTAATTTATGATAAATTAATTTAATCTACACATAATGACATAAGTGAGCCTGAAACAAGCTTCTATCAATTTTTGCCTTTGGAGGTAACATAATATTTTCAAATGTTTGACCAAACTGAGTAATTAATCCCCAGGCTGAGCAAATGAGCATAATAGACATCTCCCACACATTCCTTTGAATTGACAAAATGAGAACAAAAATGTGGCAGCCCAAGGGTTAAAAATATATCTGCCATACAAAGCAACGGTTTACAGTGTTAATACATGAGATTAGTCTTACACACAAGGTTCAGAAATAGAGCAGAGTTGATACTGTTTTCTTTTATGCTGCCAAAAATTCTCTCTGATGAGCCATCTGATTTCCACAGGAGCTTTGCTGGCAGCAGCTGTAACAAGCTATATATTCTTTAGTTCATTGTGTTTATTTGCCTATTCTTAGCTTCACAGCATGTTGGCGGTTTTTGTTTTAAGAAATGATTCATTGCATAATATCACTAGAGTTACGAAAATAAAAATTGGAGTTGCACCCCCACCTTTTCCAAAAGATCATGTTTGGTTTTAGCTCTGGAATTTTAAGTTGCACTGCTTGTAAACACAAGGGAAGGCAAAACATACTGTAAAGTGAAGCCTGCCAGTGTCCTTTGAAGGTAGTATTATGGAGATGCTGGTACACTGTTAATAAACCTACCTGAGAATGTTTAATTTGGACTGAGAAAAATTGTTTCCTGTGGCCGTATACGTAGCCCTAATGACTTTACAAGAGTTCTAATAATGTTTGCTTTTAATGAGGAAAAATAAACTGTACTAGGAGAAAATCTTTTCAGTAGGACTGCATTGGGATCATGGCCTAGCAAGTACATCCCAGACAGGGTACATGTAAAGCTACAGAAAGACATCTGTAGCATGACAATGAAAGGCTGTCTCTAAACATGTAGAGCTTAATCCTGCAGGTTGCTGAGCAGTGTGGAGAGAATTGCAGAGAGGAAATACAAGGTACTGGCACTTAGTGTTTGCTCAGCACCTTTGCACAGAGGCAAGAAGCTTCCTCATTGTGTGGAGGAATATGCACGGCTTGATAACATGTGAAAAGCTGTATACCTATGTTGAACCGAGTGCTGGTGAGTAGGGGCAAGATTGGCCATGATTCAAAGCAGAGTGAGGCTTTGACAGGGCATAATTGCATGGGCATAAATGTAAATAGGGTGACCAGATGTCCCAATTTTATCGGGACTGTCCCGATATTTCCTTGTTTGTCCCGTGTCCCGACCAATGTTAGGGGTCGGGACACGGGACAAACAAGCAAATACTCCGGAGCCCGGAAGTGCTTGTGCCCCCCCTCCCCGACTCCGTCCCCTCCTTCCCCCATTGGCTCCCTCCCCGAATCCCCACCTCTTCCCCAGGCTCACCATTCCTCCTTCCTCCACAAGCTCTGGAGGGAGGCCCCAGAGACGCAGGGGAAGCGCGGGGCCAGGGTGAGTGAGAGTCCGGCAGCCCAGCCCCATTCGTTCCCCTGCGGGACCCGAGCGGGACGGGGGGGCTGGGGCCTGCTGTCCCCACTCCGGGGCCACCGTGGGATAGCACCAGCTGGGCAGCAGCCCAGACGCGACTGGCCAGGGGCTGGGCGCAGCGTGCGTGCTGCTGGGTCCCCGCAGCAGGCCCAGGCTTGGGAGGTTCGGGGGCACCAGAGCTGCAGCCGCCGAGCTTGGCCATCGGCCGCTTCCATTTCTAGGATTTTCATTGACTCCTATTGCCACACAGTAGTAGTGGCTTATTCAAGGTTGCATAAGATGT